AAGAATGAATATTCAGAAATATTTCGCACAATATTCTCAATATTTGGTAGAGGATATGCATCTAAATGAGTGAAACGATTTATTGTTTGGGAGTAATCCACTACCATCCTTTTTTTATGATTATCATTCTTAGTCACCAATACCTGAGCACGCCATGGAGACTTACTTTCTTCTATAATACCTTCGGAAAGTAATTTTTGTATCTCTGTTGATATAAATTTTGCATCTTCATTGGAAAATATTCTTGATTTGGTTGTGACAGGCCTACAGTTGGGAGTGAGATTTGCAAATAGTGTTGGTGGATCTACTTTGACGTAAGCTAGGCTACACAATTTCAAAGCTGATTTTGATCCTCCGAAGTTAACTTCAATCGAAGAATGTTGTTTCAATATATCGTGGCCAATAATTATATCCGCGCAGAGGTCTTGTATTACAGACAACTTGACATTTGAATATTGATGTCCCAAAATGTTCAGATTGACAAAGCAGTGTCCAACAATTTCAGAATGCAAAGTGGTAGATGCCATGGAAATATAACCACTACTAGGAAACAATGGGATTTGGGCCACCAGAAGGAAACTTTTATTTATATACGTTTCAGAACTACCAGTATCAACTAGAGCATCAGCAGTATGATTGTTAATCTGGACTTTGGTCAATGATTTGGATAAGCTTCTGGGGGCAGCAGCAATGAGATCAGTAGTTGGTGCAACGAACGCAGTTGTAGGTTTACCTGTAGTTTTCCTACTTTGACATACTTTTGAGAAATGTCCCAGTTTCCCACAATTTTGGCAAATGGAGTTAAGAGCTGGACATACTTTTCTGTCGTGTCTCTTGTTCCCGCAGAAGTAACATTTTGACCACTTATTGATAGTAGAAGCAGTAACAGTTGTTTGTTCATCGAGTTCTGGGAGATCATTTTTACTTGAAGAAGGTGTTGCATTTACAAATGAAGTTGGACTAACATAGGCCTCTGAATGTTTTTGAGCAGATTCAAGAGACTGTGCTTGACTGATAGCCTCATGAAGTGTTAGAGTATTATTCTCTAAAAGTCGTTGTCGTATCTGAACTGAACTGAGTCCACTTATGAAAGAATCTCGTATGTAATCGTCTCGATTTTCATCGGCACTAACAGGCTTGAAGTTACAGTCCTTGCCTAATTGTCTCAGTGCATGGATAAAATGATCGATAGTTTCCCCTGGCTGTTGTCTTCTTGAAGTGAGACAGTATCTTGCGAACATTTCATTCTTCGGTTTCACAAACATCTCATTCAGTAACTTCTTAGCTTCAGAATAAGTCTTGCAGTCCACAATGTTTTCATATACGGAATAGCCAACATAGTTAATGAGAAGCTTCAATTTTCCTTCTTCATTAGCTTCTTCAACCGAGGATATGAAGTTTTCAAATGTGGTTATCCAGTGCGTCCATTCCTTAGCAATTTTCGGAGAATCGCATTGAGGATCGAATCTTTCAGGTCTCAGGAGTTTATTCATCTTGTTGATTAAATTGTAATGAATTACCTCGAGAAATAAGGCTTTAATCAACAAGATTCCAACATGACATTAATAAGAATTCATGACATTCATGACACTAACATTATCATCTATCACAATACAGGGAGATGAACCTGAAGTTGATGTAAGTATCACTATAACGATATTTTCATTTTCAATGCCTCATGAAGTTTGGCTTTGTTTTACTGATATTTAAGGACAACTTCCGATGACTACAGATTCGTATTATCATATCTGTGTCCTCCAGAATTCCATTTTGTAAACATTGATGTTTCCATATGGGCTTGTCAGGCGTTACCTCAGCTACGGTATGTTGACTAACTAATACATTTCTTTCAGCGGAATTACACTCCAAGAAGCTTTGAAAATCGCGTACGATGATGAGGATATATATATATATATAAACTAGGGAATATTGGGGACTGCAGCAAAGTCAAAAGAGTACTCTTTAAAGTTGGTCCAAGCTTTCGAAAATCTTTTTTTCATCATCAGGGAGTCTGTAAAGTGATTATTCATGAGTATCATGTAGTTAAAGTGATGAAATCTTTGTGTACTCACAACTTTGTTGAGGATGGCTGACATGATGTTCATGTATAATTTCTTTATGTGTCTTGGTAACATAACATGAATAAGCCCAAAAGTCATCGATAAAAATACATTACATTGAATAACACACGTTAAAACATTATAAAACTAAGTTAAAAGTCACATCTTCCACCACATGGTTGGAATTGTTGGCAGATAAGGTTATTGCAAATGGTGCCGGGAAATGAGTTTTTTTGAAAAATGAATATGACTGACATATGACAGTGTGTGTGAAGACAATTGTCATGTCAAAAATGCACAAAACAGTGGTACCAACAGACAATGCGTACCAACGTTGAAAACTGAAATTTGAATTGATTATGAGTTATCTAAAGACAGTAAAAAGCAATAAATCTCACTCAAATGATTAATATCTGTTTTTTTATTTATGCAATTATTGCATTGTGATACTGTCTTTAGATAACTCATAATCAATTCAAATTTCAGTTTTCAACGTTGGTACGCATTGTCTGTTGGTACCACTGTTTTGTGCATTTTTGACATGACAATTGTCTTCACACACACTGTCATATGTCAGTCATATTCATTTTTCAAAAAAACTCATTTCCCGGCACCATTTGCAATAACCTTATCTGCCAACAATTCCAACCATGTGGTGGAAGATGTGACTTTTAACTTAGTTTTATAATGTTTTGGATATGATTCGATTAGAAGTAGAATATTGGAAGAAATATGTTAAGAAGGTATAATCCCAATAACTCATTTGATAAATAGAATATCCGAAACAGGTTTTTGTCCGAAGGAATTCAAATTAACTGTGGTGAAACCAGTGCACAGAAAGGCGATAAAACGAAAACAGAAGATTACAGACCCATTTCACTCATAACTAGTTTAACTAAAATATTTGGAGAATCTCTGGAACATAGACTATCCGGATACCTTGTGAAACACAAACTCATATCAGAAAAACAATTCGGCTTTCGCCAAGGGAAGTCTATGCAGGATGCGAATACGAACTTGACTGCCGAATTATATAAAATCATTAAAGAAGGCGGAAGTGCTATATGTATTTTCCTCGATTTCTCCATGGCTTTCGACATGGTTAGTCATAAGCTAATGTTGGAAGCCTTAGAAGATATAGAAAAACGAGGTCTGCCTTCGAAATTATTCGAAAGTTCTTCATAACAGGAAGCAATATACTAACGTAAACGAAAAAAGTAGTTCACAAAAGGATATTTATTACGGTGTACCACAAGGGACCGATTCAGGGCCTATCTTATTATTCATCTCAATAATGTTCTTAACCTTCGAAGCCAAGGAGAAATATATAGTGTTGCAGTTGATACTATTGTTCTTTACAAAGATGAGTCCTGGAAAGACCTTGTTACGACCTAAATGGTCGCAATCAATGGACCCCAGGTTCTATAAGGATTTTGCCCTGGAGAGTTGGTGCTAATAACACAAAATACACACACTCAAGTCATTTATTATGATTACCCACAAAAATCCTGTTACATGGAGATAGCCAGGTACCTGTGTAAGTAAAGGTGGATTCAATAGTATGTTACTCACAATACTTTAACGAGTAAATCAAAATGGCGATAATAACTAGCCCATACAATTAATTGCTGAAGAGAATGTTATCAACTTCTTTCAAAACTCTAGATAATAATTATTTAGTAAATAAATGCAATATGTATATAGCTGGTACAATAATTAATTGAGGAAGATAATGTACTCAACTTCTTTCGAAACCCCTGTCTATCCTTCACCCACCAGGACTGACACTCTGCTTCGGCCTCCAAGGAGATATGCTTCTGATGAGTACTCTGCAAAGAGGCATGAAACGAGCGGCTGCCAGACTTCGTTGGGTAAGATAGAAGGGTTAGGTTAGAACTACAGAAAACAGCTGGAGCTGAACCAAACTTTCTTCTAAAATTTAATCGTTAAGGGCATCGGGGTTCGGCCCGCGTAACAACCCGTAATGGTTCTGCAATGAAGGCCCATCATTAATTTGGCTTTGAATTTCGACCAACACGTGGGGCAAGAGGTTACAAAAAAAAAAGTTAAACTTACCGGATAAATCTCTGAACTTCACCACCAAAATTAAATCCGTAATTAAACGAAGGGAATAAGGCTTCCAAAAGCCTATTCAATATTTGAAATATAGTTTCCTTTATAATCCGACATATAAGTCGAGCACTCCAATCCAAATGTGCTTAATCAAAAAAAAACAACTTCGATTAGTGGTGAATTCGACGAAAGCTATCGCTTGACAAGACCCCTTTCAGGAGTGTTCTCTGATTAAAAATCTTTGCCTCCACTGTTGCCATATGACGAGCATGAATATTATAATTTTCAACTGACCATGAATTTAACACATTACTGAGCCACGAAACTGAAACCCCGGGGGGGGGGGGTTAGTATTTACACCCATATCACCTTATAGTGGTGTATCCACAACCATTGTATCCCATCTGTATCCATAACTGGTCCAACAACCCTCAGTCAAGCACAATCAGCAAAAATACCAGTAACCACCAAATGAATATCACCTGCACTACACTTCGCAGCGGAATAAACATTCAGTGTCCACTCACCTTACCAGTAGAAAAGCCTAATTCATGCGAACGCCAAATGACAATCATGGATATGGATCATCGTAGATCAAGCCCGTTTGGGGTAGTGTCTCATAAAGAAAATGTTTGCACGAGATAGAATGGACTGTCTACGTCTCTAGCAGAGAGTAGAGTGCAGAGAAGAATAGGGTACAGGATAACTACACTGTTATTAATTGGTTACATATTTATATCATTTTCAAAAACGAATGTAAGAAAATCACTCAAATTCTAATCAGGGTGTAACAACTCCACCCTCCCAAAAAAAAAAAAAAAAAATGTATATAGAGAGAGCCTATATATATATTTTTTTTTTGTTCAGAAATGTTTGCTTTGGCGGCTTTAGCTGGTATTAGGTGAGTAGTAAGTGACAAGGGGCAAATGACTGAGAAAATCGTTGGAGTTAGATATCAATGAACAACCTTTACCAAATTCAATGGACCAAAATTATCAAACCTTGTGTATTGAATAAACGTTGATAACTTGCATAAATGACCAGAGTGTGAAACAAAAAAAAAAGGAAAAAAAATTCTCGAAAGTATGTTCAATAAAAAAACATACCACATGATGCTTTTGATATTAAAATTAAATTATAGGTGATGATAAAGGAAATTCAAATCCGAATTCTTTTTAACAAAACCAAAAGTGGTACCTATAATTCTATAGAATGTTAAGCCAAATTGAACTGAAGACTGAAACTTACTGGAGACCACATACTAGGTTAAGATCACTCAGGGTAGCCTCCCTTTAACTATCAGACCAACTCGTACCACAGGCCAGATGTATCAGTGAAGGGGTTCTGGTTTGCTAAGTGATTACCTCCAACCATAACAACCGGAGAGCCTCACATCCAACGTCCCATTCACCCCACCATCACACCTCAATCCCAACGTTACAGGTTACAGGTTACAGGACACAATGTTAATTGAAGTTCTCTCGGCTATACCAAAACCCTAATGAAAAATCAACAATCCAATTCGTCCAACTGAGTTGAAAAGTTACGAGTATATGTTGCTGTGTCACTATTTGAAATGAGGGGCTTAGTGGATACATAATTTGAGGAGCAGATGTTCGTCCAACTAAATCACAAGATGTTAGGTGATGACTACTACCTTACATGTACCCATAGAGGAAGTAGTGAATTTATAAGTGACCCACCCAGGAACGAAAAAGAAAGTAGGTTCCTATCATCCCGAAAATCCAAAAAAACTAAACTAAGTCCTCATCCAAGGTATGATCAGGTTTTAAGTCTTTAACATGCCAAGTACCAAGGGATTTATTTTTGTCATTGACCAATTCATAAGTATTTATTCCTGTTTCCTTTTTAACCCTGTAAGGACCACTAAACTTCGGGGCCAATTTGGCGGTAAACTGTTTAGAAGCGTCCGACAAGACATAAGCTCTTTTCCAAACAAAATCTCCAACCTGAAAACTAACAGGGCGTTTTCTAAGATCATATCTAGCTTTGGTGTTTTCGTAAGCTTTCTGTAATTTGATTTTTACGTCCTGATGAAGTATACGCAGTCCTTCACCTTTCCATTCAACCTTGCCAGACTCATTCTTGATTGAGTCAGAAGCAAAATTTGTTTTGTCCCTCAGCCACCTATATTCCTGTCCGTTAACTACCATTTCATTACCAAATAAAGTGAAAAATGGAGTATGCCTAGTGGTTTCATGCTTGGCAGTTCTTACAGCACAAGCAAGTTTAGCTAAATTATTGCTCCAAGTTTTGTGATTTTCCTTCGTATAGGAAGCCAAAACAGTTTTCAAGACTCGGTTTACCCGTTCAGTTGGATTTTGGTGGGGAGTATAAACTGCGTTAAATAATGGGGTCACCCCATAGGATTTTAAGAATTCTTTAAAATCATTACTCCTCCCAAACTGAGTTCCATTATCTACTATCATGAATTCACAGACTCCAAAAATAAGAAAAACTTGTTCTTCTATAGCCTTAATAACATTTTTAGCGGTGGCTTTCCTCAATGGAATGAAAAATGAAAATTTACTGAAATAGTCAGTTACAACAAGAATATATTCGTATGCATTAGATATTGGTAGGGGGCCAAACAAATCAGCACTAACCATTTGCCAACGATGATTGATTTCAGGACGTTTTCCCATTACTCCAGCAGGTAATTTTTGTAGTGGTTTATGACTACAACAAGTGGGACATCGTTTGACATACCGATAAAGGTCCGCTTTCATACGAGGCCAGAAATACGCCACCAGAATCCTATTATAGGTCTTGTAGACACCTAAGTGCCCCCCAGTTAACATATCATCGTGATACTTTTCCAAAATACTCTTTCTTTCTGGCTTCGATACTACTCGCTTCCAAGTATCCACATCCACTCTCAAATCTGGAAAACCAGTCACCACCTTTTTATACAACACACCATCAGAGACACGCCAACGATCATACTTCAAGGGATTAGTTCTCACATTGTGGGTCATTTTGTCATACCAAGGATCCCTGGAGCTCACTAGTTCCTTCGCAACCTCAACAGACTGCAAAGTGGGTACGACAGCTCGTGAAAGCAGGTCAGCCATCTTATTGTCCACACCCTTACGATGTTGAACGTCAAAATCATAAGCTTGTAGCCTTAGACACCATCGTCCTAATCTACCGTGAGGATCTTGGAGATTATTCAACCATTTAAGTGCATAACAATCGGTTTTAACGGTGAACTTCGTCCCTTCAATATAACCTCTCAATTTTTCAATTGCCCAAATGACTGCAAGACATTCTAACTGCGTTGCCCCATACTTCGACTCTGTCTGAGTTAAGGACCTGGAAATGTATGCCACAACATGCTCCTTATCATCATAATACTGAGTCAACACGCATCCCAGACCCACGGAGCTAGCATCGGTGTTCAAAATATAAGGATAATTCACATTTGGACAAGCTAAAATGGGACTGCTGATTAAAATACTTTTGACTTTCTTGAAAGCATCGTCACACTCTTTTGTCCATCCCCACTTCACTCTCTTCCTAGTTAACTTGGTTAGAGGTGCCACAATAGTGGCAAAATCTTTACAAAATCTCCGATAAAAACTCAGCGCTCCAACAACACGTCTAACTTCACGGGCATTCTTTGGCACTGGCATATCAACAATTCCTCTAATTTTTTCAGGATTCACCCCAAGTCCATTCCTTGTTACTTTATACCCCAAATATTCTAACTCCTCCCTACAGAATTTACATCTCTCTTGTTTCAAAGTGAGACCCGCTAATGTCAACCTCTTAAAGAATTCTCTTAATACATTAATATGAGATTCAAAATCCGGTGTGCAAATGATTAAATCGTCTAAGTAAGCAAATACAAAAGGTTTTAAACCCCCACACATCTTATCTACTAGAGCCTGGAAGGTTCCAGGAGCACCATGAAGACCAAAAGCTAACCGCTTGAATTGAAAATGTCCTCTGCCAGGAACTGAAAATGCGGTATATTTTTTACTTCCCTCTTCCAGAGGGACTTGCCAATATGCGGAGCGAACATCCAAACTTGATAAGTATTTTGCTTGCCCTAATTGATCTAATATCTCATGTATAAAGGGAAGTGGGTACGCCGGTCTTTTAGACAGCATTTACCTTCCTGAAATCAACCACAAACCTCCACGATCCATCCGGTTTGGACACCATCAGGATTGGGGAACTCCATTCACTCTGACTAGGTTCAATAACACCAAGACTAAGCATTTGATCAAGTTCCTCATGGATTTTGTTTTGCATTACATGGCTCACCCGGTAATATTTTTGTCTAATTGGCGAAACCCCTTCATCTACCTCAATTTTATGGCTAATCAAATCTGTACAACCCAAGGGAATATCCTTGATACTATCGAAATAGCCCTTCACAACTTCACCCAATTGTTCTCGCTGTGTCATGGTTAAATCATCAGTGGTTTCAAGTATTGGTTTTTCCGACAAACTATTGCACAATGGTTGGCTTGAAAAATACCATTCCCCTTTTCTCAAGTCAGGCACCACACCCATCTGAACCCAAAAATTTGTTCCCAAAACTAAAGTGTGTCTCAGCTCAGGAACAATTAAAACATCAAAAATATCCGTTTTATGTTTCAACTTAATTGGAACAGTCAGTTTCCCAATGCAAGTGACTTCGGTGTCATTAGCAACTGTACAACTGGAGATGTTAACCCGTTCCAACTTGAAACCCAAATTTTCCAAAATACCTAACCCATGGTGATTCATAAAAATACTGTTGGCCCCACTATCTAACAATCCATGTAGTTCAACATCATAAATAGAAACTTTGACATAAGGACATTCGTTACTTCCTCCCAGAGACAAAATATAATTTAAAATCGTTCTAACCTTTTCGGATGAAACAGATTCGGTGGTCGAAATGCTCCCAGAGTCTAGACTTCGACCAAGTTCTAAACTCCTGCTGAGTTTTTTGAAATAGAACATTTTGGACAGGTTTTAGTTGTGTAACCAAGTTGTCCACATTTAAAGCATTTGACAATTGTAGAAGTACACTGCCTAGCCAAATGTTGAGTGCTATTACAACAGTAACAAGTCTTGACTTTACAATCTTCATTAGAGTGACTACGTCCGTGACAATTAGAACATGAGATTGAGGAAACAGATCCTCTCAGATTACTTGGATTTCTATCCCTACTTGGATTTCTATCACTACTTGGATTTCTCTCCCTACTGGGATTTCTCTCCCTACTGGGATTTCGATCCCAACTATGATTTCTACCTCTACTGTGATTTCTAGCTCTACTCTGAATTCTATTTCTACTTTGATTTCTGACTCTGCTATCATTTCTATCCCTGCTATGATTTCTGTCCCTAAATTGAGGATTATCCTTAGAGAATCTAGGTTGGTACCTATCACTACTAGGAGCGCGACTCGTATTGGCATTTGAATAATTATTCCAAGGTTGATAGAGAGAGGGGGAACTTGACCTACCTGTCCAGTCCCTCTCATTTCCGCTAGTATCAACTATGGTAGCTTCATCCAAAAAGGTACTGGATCTACTTCCCCGGAAAGAAACTTCCCTCCTACTAGGCCGATGGTACGTTAAATCCCTCTCTACTGCACTTCTATCTGTCGAAGGTGGAACAAAATTCAACGTGGAGGTTCTAGCATCTTCTAATTTTCTACACAGTGTTATTAGATGTTGTTGGGATTGAACATCCACCAAAACTAATCTTTCTTGGAAAAAGGGCAACAAATTTTTCATAATTATTTTCAGACGTTTAGTTTCATCGACTGGAGTGGTTAATCGATTGAACAAATTATTCATGAAGGCTATAAAAATCCCTATAGATTCCGTTTCCCCTTGAGTTCGATGTTTGATTTGTTCCCATAATTTTTCATTATAATCCCTAGGAAGGAACTCATCTCTAAGCATAGTGCACAGAGCATGCCAGTCATTCACTCTAGATTTCACACTTCGATACCATATGAGTGCTGCCCCATCAAATAATTCAATGGCACTACGAAACACCTGCTCATAAGTAACCGACCTAGCAACACATAGTTCATTTATTCTTTCTATGAAAGCATTCACTCCTATACCATCAGTCTCTCCAGTAAATTTAACATTCCATTTGTTTATACAGGATGATTCACCAAAATTTGTGCATAACCGCTCAAATGCACTAGTCACATCAGTTGGTTGAGGTGCTGATACTGAGGGTGTTGTTCTGATGGGAGTAGATGTTAATCTACTCTCTCCAGGAGTAGAAGGGTCAGAAGGACATGTATTGCCTGACTTGAATTTTTCAGCTAATTTCTTGAAATCAGCCACCAGGCCCAATGTATAAGTTAAAAGTGTATTTCGTTTAACTGAATCATCTTTTTCTTGAGGAGAAATATTTTCCAATCTATTTAAAATATGACATAGTTTGGTCTCTACCTTTTTGAGCCAACTTTGATTGACTTCCTCAGTAAATAGTGACGCCACAAATTTCAGTTTCTCATCACAAATTTTGATCTCATCCTGTATAACGATTTCCTAATCAGACCTGAAACTTTTCCCTTCTTTTTCCAAAGCAATTAATTCCCGAAGAATTTTTATCAAATCTTTAAGAGTTAGAGATTCTTCAACATGGGCACCTCTAATTTTTAATTCAAATACCACCTCATCTTTCAATAACCTATCAATATGTAGGGTCAACATGGTAAAGGTTGTTCAAAAAAAAAGTTTCTAAATAATCAACTTAATTCAACAGATAACAGATAGGATACAAAAGTTGTCTCACCAATATTCGAAATTTTGTTATAAAATTTTTCTTTTTTCACTCCAGCTGTTTTCCTGTCTGTCCAGGTTTTTGGAAGTAGTTCTATCAGCAACTCCTCTCCTGTCCTCACGCAGGTGCAACTCCAATCTCCTTGACACCCCAGAAACAAAGCGTCCGTCCTGCCCGGTGAATTCAAGAAGTACAAAGTCCAGCCTAAAATAATCAGTACAAATTGGTGGAGTATAGATTCAGGGTGCTACCCTCACCAACCCCTGAACAAAATCCTGGTCACGGCACCAAAATAGTTGTTACGACCTAAATGGTCGCAATCAATGGACCCCAGGTTCTATAAGGATTTTGCCCTGGAGAGTTGGTGCTAATAACACAAAATACACACACTCAAGTCATTTATTATGATTACCCACAAAAATCCTGTTACATGGAGATAGACAGGTACCTGTGTAAGTAAAGGTGGATTCAATAGTATGTTACTCACAATACTTTAACGAGTAAATCAAAATGGCGATAATAACTAGCCCATACAATTAATTGCTGAAGAGAATGTTATCAACTTCTTTCAAAACTCTAGATAATAATTATTTAGTAAATAAATGCAATATGTATATAGCTGGTACAATAATTAATTGAGGAAGATAATGTACTCAACTTCTTTCGAAACCCCTGTCTATCCTTCACCCACCAGGACTGACACTCTGCTTCGGCCTCCAAGGAGATATGCTTCTGATGAGTACTCTGCAAAGAGGCAGGAAACGAGCGGCTGCCAGACTTCGTTGGGTAAGATAGAAGGGTTAGGTTAGAACTACAGAAAACAGCTGGAGCTGAACCAAACTTTCTTCTAAAATTTAATCGTTAAGGGCATCGGGGTTCGGCCCGCGTAACAACCCGTAATGGTTCTGCAATGAAGGCCCATCATTAATTTGGCTTTGAATTTCGACCAACACGTGGGGCGAGAGGTTACAAAAAAAAAAGTTAAACTTACCGGATAAATCTCTGAACTTCACCACCAAAATTAAATCCGTAATTAAACGAAGGGAATAAGGCTTCCAAAAGCCTATTCAATATTTGAAATATAGTTTCCTTCCCACTGTGCAAAAATTCATACTATTAACGTTATTTCATTGTAACCAAGATACGTTGTTACGTTGTGAATTTGGTGCTATTGACATCTTAAAGATTATCTCAGAGTCGTTATATGTCCACCAACAGTACAATATCGCAGGACGTCGCAAGAACGTTGAGTAAGAGTTGAAACTGATACGTGTCATGAAACAGCTTTGTTACAGTGGAAGTACATTCTCAAATAGTATTTGCGATAACGCATTTACGTACCATGTCTTCATTTCGGAATGTAAAAAGTACATATCCCTGGACGATTTCATAACATACCTGTTTCATTATTGTTGACTCTCTTGTAACATTACTAGGATCTTTCGAAATATACAGGGTGATACTCCAAACATGTTCACCCTTGTAACTTGGTTATTTCTAGACCAATATTCGTGAATTCTGAAAACTAATACTGGTATAATCACGTAGCTAGATTTTATCACACTGGGTTTTTCATCATATGTGGGACGCGTCCTCTCATTTCTCCCACTACAGAGAACGATAAATAGGTATAATGAAGCAAGCTTGGTTCAATCATCTCAAATGTATCGGAAGGAATAAAAAATGGTAGGTATTTTTAACAACTTGAAAACAAAAGAGTTCTGGTCAATTCTTTGAAGGATCATTTATTATTGTTTTGAGCTGCCCTATCACATCTTGATGTGCGTCCCATATATTTTGAAACACCCAGTATACATTTTCTGGCTAAAAAATATACCAAATAGTTTTTGAATTCTGCGATCGGTCCAGAAATGACTAAATTTACAAGAGGGAACATTTATGTTGGATCACCCTGATATTTACTATAGTCAGCTCCATTGCTGAATACCCACTTATCAGAGGAGAAAAATAAATTCAGAAATGTATTCAATCAATGTATGTAAGGTAGAAGTACAATTGGAAATAAATGGATATTTGATTGACTATAATTATATCCTTCCACGTATGTCACTTCAGTTAGTTCAGTTTTATGATTCTATGGGCGAATCTATTTCAAGGCTGAGGATTTCATGAAATGCACCTGAAACACCAAATAATTGTTATACACAATATCAGCATCAAATATTCATATCATCCTACCTTGATTCTGCCTCGATTAGTTCCCTTTCTGATGGTGTGTTCTTGATTCTCGAAACTTTCACCCTCCTCTGTGGCAGTGGGTGGATTTTAGAGTGTTCTAGCCCAATGTAAGAGTTGATTTTCATGTTGTCATCATTTTTTCATACGCCTTTCAAGAATAAAGGACTTACTAATTCTTGTGTCCCCCAAATTCCTCTATTTTTGATTGAATGAAATCCCAGATACTTGGATTCTGAAATATATACCATACCTAAGTAATAAATTTACATTACCTACTATATGCATTTCACTTTTTCATACCTGAACTTCCCAGGCAAACAGCAGATGTGTATTCCATCATTTCTACTAAAGTAGGTCAGAGCAGGGTAGGTTTGTCCAGAGCTCACGCATGTTCTAGTAATGTAGGTATCCATCAGGTTCCGAGGAAACTTCATAAGTACTGACCTGTAAACAATGTAGTACTTGAAGACATTGATATATTCCAATGAAAGCTTCCGTGAATGACATGAATCAAACTATTTTGAGGGAGCCTGTTGGTCACTGATATACCTATATAGCTATTTGGTGATACATTTTTCTATATTGCGTATGACCTAACCCCAAAAATCAAATAATATTACTGAGTTCATTTGAAACAAAGAGAGGAACAATAATAGAGGACTTGTGTGCTTGTAGTTATATTTTATCACATAATTATATATTCACTGAGGAAGATACCCGACAATAAATTATGACTGAAGCCATTATGAATCAGACAACTGTGTGCTGATACATAAACAGAAAATTATGATTTTGGTAATTCAACTCACCTATCTCACCATGTTTTCCAAAAAACGCACTTCCACTTGATTTTCTTGACTATTAGTCTACCTCAAAAGTCAAAATTCACACTTTATTGTGAGACACATCAAACACAACACAACACAAACCACGCCGTCCGTCATAACCACGACAGCATCATCTCTCAAAATGGCGAATATTAGCAAAATAGCACAAAGTGAGAAAGATACGTGTCTGATTCGAATCAAGTTCGTGATAATAGTCCCACGGAAAATGATAAAAGTACGTCACATAAAATGTTCTGTGGATGAAATAAGAATACTTTGGAGAAGGCGTTGGAATATTGACTCAAATAAGATCACATAGACGTGCATACGTCAGTTTACTGTTACGAAACAGCGATGTGTATCTGGGGATGTAGCAGAGTCAGCCCAAATAAGAGACGAATTAAAACGTCCCAGAAATATGTTATTATCACTTATAAAAGATGTAATCTCAAAAAGGTCACCAAAGGTACAAGAAATTAACGTTACCAAACATCCCCGGGATGTTCCTTGCTCAGTGGGTTTATAATCCGACATATAAGTCGAGCACTCCAATCCAAATGTGCTTAATCAAAAAAAAACAACTTCGATTAGTGGTGAATTCGACGAAAGCTATCGCTTGACAAGACCCCTTTCAGGAGTGTTCTCTGATTAAAAATCTTTGCCTCCACTGTTGCCATATGACGAGCATGAATATTATAATTTTCAACTGACCATGAATTTAACACATTACTGAGCCACGAAACTGAAACCCCGGGGGGGGGGGGTTAGTATTTACACCCATATCACCTTATAGTGGTGTATCCACAACCATTGTATCCCATCTGTATCCATAACTGGTCCAACAACCCTCAGTCAAGCACAATCAGCAAAAATACCAGTAACCACCAAATGTATATCACCTGCACTACACTTCGCAGCGGAATAAACATTCAGTGTCCACTCACCTTACCAGTAGAAAAGCCTAATTCATGCGAACGCCAAATGACAATCATGGATATGGATCCTCGTAGATCAAGCCCGTTTGGGGTAGTGTCTCATAAAGAAAATTTTTGCACGAGATAGAATGGACTGTCTACGTCTCTAGCAGAGAGTAGAGTGCAGAGAAGAATAGGGTACAGGATAACTACACTGTTATTAATTGGTTACATATTTATATCATTTTCAAAAACGAATGTAAGAAAATCACTCAAATTCTAATCAGGGTGTAACAACCTGAAGAACAAAATAGGAGCAGATTTTGGGAATATATTAAATTAGTTCAACCATAAAGTTCTTACTGTCAACCATGAAAGGACTAGATATCTGCCTTTTACTGTGTTTTAGTGTTAGTGTTCCCATCAGCTCCTCGACTATCTTTGTTAGATATGGCAACAGTGCCTACGTCACATATGACACGGGAGTCGGGTCTGTGGCCCACGACAGATTTTAATAATTCATTCACTACCTGACAGTCGTAGAGTTATCACTCTCCATCCCCTCACCTCTCCTCCTGACCTCACACGACAACACATGGCGCTGCGGACATAGAAATAAAAATCGGAAATCATCGTAAAAGTTACATGAGGTTTTCTGGTTTTTCCGTTGTATTGTGAGAAGTAATAGTACAGCAAATAAATTGAAATGGATTTTAGAGGTGTTCCGCCGATGAATATGTCTGGAAATTTGGCCGAAGCATGGAAGTTCTGGAAGCAACGTTTTCTCACATACCTTCAAGCAACAGAAATTACGAGGAAAGAAGAAAAAACTCAGTGTGCACAACTATTGACACTGATAGGGGATGAAGGTATGCGAATATTTAATACGTTTACTTACCAAGAAGCTGAAGTAGATAAACTTGCTCCTTTATTGGCTAAATTCGATGCACATTTTAATCCCAAAAGAAATCTGACTTACTTAAGGCATAAATTCCTTACGTATAAGCAATCAGAAGCTGAGTCTGTGGAACAATATATAACAGAACTCAAAAATCTTGCCCTCTCATGTGAACTAGGTAATCTCAAGGATGGTCTCATCAAAGATGTACTAATTTGTGGCATAAAATCCACTGAAGTCAGAGAAAAATTACTCCAAGCAGATGTTGAAACACTAGATCAAGCCATAACTATTTGCATTAACACACAAAAATGTAAAGAAAACTGCAGGGAAATCACCAATGGTAGCCACAACTCGAATTCCTCAGTAGATATGATCAGAAGAAGACCTACGACCAGAAGTTCCTGTAGAAAATGTGGATCACAGCATGGTTTTGGTAAATGCCGAGCTTTTGGCAAACACTGTGGTTCCTGTGGAGGAATGAATCACTTTGAAGCACTCTGCTCTGCTGGAAGACAACCAATGGGAGGACATAGAGCAAATTATTCTGAAGGTAGCAAAAAAGCCCAAGTAGGTAGACAACCAAATGTTAATCATAATGTAAGGAAAAATCATTGTAATAGATACAGTAATAATCAGAAAAATTCTTATAAAAAGAATAAATTCCATGTAAACTCTGTTGTGGATGAATATGTGTCTGTAGAGGATGGAGATAATAATTGTCTTTGTGTTGATTGTGTAAATGTCACTTCAACGTTATCCCAAAATGCAGATAGCAGAAACTCTGATAACTTTCTGTTTATAGGTAGTATCGAGGACCAGGAAGTCAACGAGATTCATGGGGGCTCATGGACCACGCCAATGAGGATCAATGGACAAACGGTTCACCTTACATTGGACACAGGTGCCATGGCCAACATCATGCCTGTAGAAAATCTAGAGGTAATAGGTATTGATTTAAAAGAA